TATATATATATATATATATTGCCTAAAAAAAGTTAATTAATGAAAAATATAATGTATATATATTGTGTACTAATTGTAATATGAGATTAGTCTAAAAAAATTTTTTAAAAAAATCTGCCCAAAACAAATGAAAGATCACGTTCAGTTGGCAAAGGTTGTTAAGGGGTAGATGTAACGACCCGACCAATCGTTTTGAGCTTTTGCACTTTGATCGCCAGTTCTCGGGAATGACTTGCCCCGTATGATGTATTATGACTGATGTAGATCGTTTATTTTGGTTTTCACGGAAATTGGTATGAATTCGAAAGAACAGTCTCAGTTGAAAGCTTTGAATTTGAAAGGTTTGGCAAAGAGTTGACATATTTATATATGTGCTCGGATCAGAATTTTTATGATTTGGTTAGCTTTGTTGGGTGATTTATGACTTAGGAGTGTAATCGGAATTGGTTTTGGAGGTCCGGAGTAGAAATAGGCTTGAATTGGCGAAGTTAGTATTTTGGCGATTTCTGGATGATAGGTGAGATTTTGATCCGAGGGTCGGAATGGAATTCCAAGAGTTGTTGTAGCTTCGTTATGTCATTTGTGATGTGTGTGCAAAATTTCAGGTCATTCAGACGTGGTTTTGTTGGGTTTTTGATCGAAAGCGTATTTCGGAAGTTTTTAGAAAACTTAGGCTTGAATTCGATGTGAATTGATGGATTTGATGTTGTTTGAAGAGTTTTGAAGATTGGAACAAGTTTGAATAAGGTATTGATTCATGTTCGTGCTTCTGGTTGAGGCCCTGGGGGCCTCGGGGTGATTTCGGGTGGTTATCGGAGAATTTGGAAATTTTTGCAGCTTCAGATTTGTTGCTTCTGTTTTTTCCGCATGTGCGGGTTGTGGACCGCAGATGCGGCGCCGCATGTGTGGTTGATTAGTTGCAGAAGCGAAAATGCGCCTGCTTGGCAGAGACCGCAGAAGCGGTTAGGCGGGCCGCATCTGCGATGTCGCAGATGCGGGGATTTGATCGTAGATGCGATTGTTGGCCAGTTGAGTGATTTTCACAGATGCGGAAAAATGACCGCAGAAGCGGTACCGCAGGAGCAGTGGTGGGGTCGCAGATGCGTAAACCCCTGGGCAGAATGTTTTAAGTTATTTCATCCGCGATTTTGAGTCTTTTTTCCTCCATAGCTGAGCATTTTGAGAGGTTTTTAAAGGAAATCGAAGAGGGGTTCAAGGAGAAACGTTTGAAGGTAAGATTTTCGAACCTAAAACTCGAATTTATTGAGAAATCCACCTAGAAATTTATGGAAACTACGCCAAAAAATGGAAGAACTAGGGCTTGGGATTTTGGAAACTTTTAAATTGGGATTTGAAGGACCATTTGAGGTCGGATTTAAGAACTTTTGATATGTATGAACTCGTGGAAGGATAAGGAACCCATTGATGTAAAAAAATTTGAGTTTCAAAAAGTGATCTCGGGGCTCGGGTTTTGGTAATTTCGGGATTTGTGCCCGTTATTGATTGTTTTCGCTTGGGCTTTGTTTCCTTAGCATATTGTGATGTATTCGTTCTGATTTTGGATAGATTCGCGTGCGTGGAGGCCGATTTGAGGGGCAAGGGCGTCGCGAGCTAGAGATTTTGCCGGTTCGAGGTGAGTAATGATTGTAAATGATATCATGAGGGTTTGAAACCCCGTATTCGCACATCGTAGTGCTATATTGAGGTGAGACACGCGCTTGATGATGAGCGTGGGGTCGTTTACTATTGGGGATCGTGACTTGGTCCGTCCCGATTGACGCTTTTACCGCGTATTTGATTGAAACTTATTTGTTATCATCATTATTTGGGCTGATTTCCATATTTGGGCTTCGAGCCAACTATTTGAACCCTCCGAGGATTTTTATCACTATTTCCTCACTGTTTTGACCTACTACTTGAACTCAGTCGTATTGTTTTCCACTGTTGTACAACTCAGCCACTTTTACTTGGTTTTGAAACTAAAATGATATATTAAATGATGTTTTGAGGCTGAGAACTACTGTTTTTACGAATGCCTGAGGGGCTTATGTGATTTCTGGACTAAGTATGGCCGAGTGTCAGATGTGAGGATACTATGGGATCGGGTTGCGCCGCAGCAGTGTTATACTGATATTGATATGAGGCCGAGGGCCTAGATTTGATGCCACGAGATAACTTGATATTGCGCTTGGGCCGTAAGGGGCCCCTCCCGGAGTCTGCACACCCCCAGTGAGCGCCGTCGACGTAAAATATGGATCGGGCTGCACGCCGCAGCGATATATGGATCGGGTTGCACGCCGCAGCGATATATGGATCGGGCTGCACGCCGCAACGGTGCTGGTACTGTCCTATGTGTTTACTTTATTTCATTTTCTGCCATTACCTGTTGTTTGTGCTACTTCATGTGATATCTATCTGATTGCCTGGCATTATCTGTTAATTGAGTGTTGTGCACGAGGGGTGGATTTTCGTGCTTAACTGCACTATTTGTTTTGCACTCATTTGCGTAACCGTTGAAAAAGGTCATTTTTAAAAGAGGTTTAAACTGCGCTAAGATGTTTTTCCAAGGATTTCACAGTTCACTGCTTTTACTCAAAGGGTTTTAGACTGCTCTATACAGCATGATGGTTTGCTTTACGTGATTTCTTACTACTCAGTTATTATTTACCTTATTACTCACTGAGTTGGAGTACTCACTGTACTCCCTGCACCTCGTGTGCAGATACAAGTATTTGTTCACATGATGGTTCACCCGCTAGGGTTTTGAGCTGGTCGGAGGCTAAGTTATCGAAGTTTAGTGAGGTGACTGCCAGCGTTCGCAGCAACACATTTCTTCCTTTTGTTTATCAGTCCTATTTTATATGTTTCAGGCCTTGCAGTTGTATTTATACTCTAATAGATGCTCGTGACTTGTGACACCCCGGTTTGGGTTGTGTTTGGGTTGTATTCCGCACCTAATAAGGAAAATTTTTGTTTAGACTGTGGTTATTTAATTATGCTAAAACTGTTTATTAATATTAACTATTCTGAAAAGGCGAAATGGGTTGGTTGGCTGGCCTTGTCTTCACGAGAGACACCATTACAACCGGATCGGGGTCTGGGTCGTGACAGTAAAACTTATCAAAACAACCGCCCAAAAATTGTTATGGTGGCTTCAAACAAAACAAAAAAAAAAGAAAAGAAAGGGGATTGTAAATAAATAAGAGTAGGGGTGTTCATGGTTCGGTTTGGATCGGTTTTTCCTTAAAAAGAAACCAAACCAAGTAAGTCGGTTATATAAATATTAGAACCAAACCAAACCAATTAAGTCGTTTTTTTCTCGATTTGGTTTATGTCGGTTTATGTCGGGTTTTTTGGTTATTTGTCGGTTTTTTCTTAAATATATGACATACACTACCAAATACATATTCCGGCGACTACAGTTTCAACGTAACACTATCAAATCAATTGTCCTCTGAGAAATCTATTATTTACTAAAATATATTGATGATAATTAAATTAAATAGTGATGAAATTTAAGGATTCAATTAAAAATATATTTTTTAACATGAAATGGATTCTTACACTTAACAAAAGAAAACTACCAATCAAACTAGAATATAAAGGTAAAAAACTGTACTAAAAGTGCAAACGATTAACATTCACTATAAAAATTTTGAAACTTTGTATAAAAATATACATATATATATATAGGTGTAATAATAAATTCGAAATAGCTACTCCTATAGTCGGTTTGGTTCGGATTTTTTTCGGTTATTTTTTTATTAAAACCAAAACCAAACCAAACCAAATTTGATCGGTTTTTAAAATTCAAAACCAAAACCAAATCAAACCAAAAAGTATCGATTTTTTTGATCGGTTTGGTTTGATTTTTCGGGTTTTTATGAACACCCCTAAATAAGAGGTTTTTAACCTCACATATATCTCTCCCACAAACCAAACAAACAACTCTACAGTAAAGGAAAAACCCTTCCTTTCTCTTGCTTCAGCCCCCATTTTACAGTACCTCACCCATCTTTGTAATTTCTCAGTCATGGCTATCACATAAGAAAAAAAAGAATTTATTTCTTCTCTTTTCCTTATCTTCAACGAATTTCACTATCTTTGCCCCTCTTTATTTCTTCTCTGTTCAATTTTTCAAATACACTAATCTGGTTAGACACTTGATTTTCACCTGAAAAAAGAAAAAAAATGAATATTGCACAAGTAACTCTTTCAAATAACTCAAATAACTCTAGAATTGAAATCCTTGACCCGGAATAATGGAAACTTAGAGCGGAAAATCGGAGAGTGATTGAAGAATGAGATGTTGCTTTTCCCTTCTGATGGTTTGAAGGCACAAGAAATTTTACAAACAGTCAATGCTTTTGGGTGGAGGTCTTTTGTTCAGTGCCCGAGAGACTACAATCGGAACATAGTTCTGGAGTTCTATAGCAATCTTAATCCAGTAAGTCGTACTTCAACTGTGAGAGGTAAAATCATTCGCTTTGATGCTGAATTTATAAATGATATTTTTAACTTGAGAGACACTAATGATAGTGAAACCAAGAAATTTATGGATGATCAGGATGTAGATTTTGTAAGACATGTGTTAGGCGAGTTGTGTCCTAATGGTGTTAAAGTTTACTCGGGAACTGCTGAATGCCCTTTGAGTATTAATTGTTCATGTATGCTTGAATTAGCAAAAGCCTGGGGTAGATTCGTTAGTTCTCGCTTAATCCCGTATTTGAATACCTCGAACTATAATATAGAACGAGTTTTTTTTATATATGCGATTATGCATTAATTACCTGTGAATGTGGGGAGATTGATTAGCAATGCTATGGTTAGTTTTCGGATCGAGACTGATTGTGAATGCTTGTATTTTCCTTCAACTATCACTCGTTTGGCCTCCTTATTTGATATGGATTTGAGTGGTTTACCGAAGACTAAAAATTCCTACTTCATCGGTAGTGACTTTCTCCATAGTTTGAGACCTCCTACTGGTCTAACTCAAGTTGAACAGGAACAAATGCTTGTTGATAGTGGAAATGAAGTGGAGAATGAGCCAGAACAACCTCTTAATTCAGAAATTGGAACCACGCCTACCATCCTCGTTCCTGATATTCTCATTACTATGCAAGAATTGTTACAAAGGCAGACTGAATTGATGAACAGTTGGGAGATTTTCAGAAGTAAACAAGTAGTGCGTGAAGAAGTATTGTCAGCACATGTTGAACATATCATGAAAGAATTAACGGAAGCTAGAAATACTCATAATCTCATATGCCAAACTTTGCAAAATCATTTTGCATATACCTCTCCCATAATCTACACAATGAGAACTGTGATGTGCAATATTGCTAACACTATGAGAAGTTCTGATATTCCTAGTTTTTTTCCTCATTTTACTGTTCCAGGTGGTGGTAGCCTTAATGTTACAGGTGCAAATCTCGATCAGGGAACACATGTATTTGTACCAATACCACTTCCCACAACAATGATGGATTTAAACAGGGGAAGTGGAACTACACCAAGTCCGATGATATTTAGTAGTCAGCCCCTTTCTGTTTTCTCTAATTTGGAAGTTAACCATGGAGTTGCTACAACTGGAGGTTCGTCAGTTCCTATTCAACAAGAAAATGGTTTTGATGTCAATACATACCTTGATCTCTTTCAAGGTAATGGTCATGAAAATTAAGAACAGAACAACAAATTGTTCATTCAGGAGAATGAACAGTTTAGGTGTGGGAGATGGTAATTTTCTGGCTATGTTTTCTCTATAATAGTTTTGGAGTTGTTGACTAGCTTCTCTTTACTGGTTTGGAGAAACCTGTTGGTGGATGTTTGTGTTTTTGTTCACAGGAAGAAGAAGAAAGTTTTTTTTCTTTTTCAACAAAACCTTAGAAAAAATAACTTTCTTCTTTAATGCTTTTTGCTGGATGACAGAATGGAGTGCTTTGGCATGCTGATAAGCGTAACTTTTTCTTTTTGTATGTAAATAGGCCATGAAATTGCAGATCTAAGATTAATAGTTTGGTGCTATAGCAACAGGTACTAAAATTTTGTTGTGCTAGTGTGAGCACGTGATTTTTGCGCCACATGAATTACTCCTACAGAATCCCAAAGAATTAGATTCTTCTTTTAATTGTTTGTTATTTTAGGAATTATTGTAGAATTTTCTTAATTATTTGCATCTTTTTCTGTGCATGCTTAATTTCATTTAATATATGAAAATTCAAAAATACTTTGCATTCGCATTTAGGATTTAATTTTTACATTTTAGGGTTAATTAGTAAATTAGTTGTTTTATAAAAATAAAAAATCACAAACAAATAACTCACTTTGCATTTTAACTTTTAATTTTTGAATTTTATAGTTTTTCTTTTAATTTAGGAGTTATTTATTTTTTATAAATACTTTGACTAGCAATTAGCTTAATTTGGTAGATTAATTTAGTTTTAAGAGTTAATTTAAGTTTTTATATTAATTTGGAAAAGAAAGGAAAATTGGAATTTGAAAAGAAAAGGAATTGAATCAAAAGAAATGCCTTGATTTTGGGCCAATTCGTATCAGCCCAAGTGATTTTGCCCCAAACCCGTCTCAAGATCCAGGCCCAAATTACCCCAAACCCGGTCCAGCTTAAAAGCCTGATCAAACGATGTCGTCTTGGACCCTTTTCATCAGAGCCGTCGATTTCATTTAATCGGACGGCCCGGAACTGGCTTTAGTTCACCATATAACTGTTCGAATGGCCTACCCCCCATTCTATAGCTTCAGTTAATCTCCTCCTTCAGAGACCCTCAAGTACCCTACCCTAAAATTCTCACCACTCCGGTGGTGGTGCCACCTCTAATCCGCCTCAAAACTACACCATATAACCCCCAGCCCCTCCTCTTCCTAAATCCTGAAGCAACTTCCCTCAAATCCCTCCCCATCGTTTCGAATTTTCGATCCAAGGTCAAGACCCCAAACCCCAAAATCCCAAATCTCCCAAATCGTCAAGTTTCAGTGAAGGATTGGAGTCAAAGTTGATTTTATTCGTGTGTTCTCAACGAGAACACACGATTAATGTCAATCTCGGCTAAAAATTTAAGGTTTTGAAGATTTTTTCAAAATCCACTGTCAACCCGCCTATTTTTAGGTATTTTTTCCGGCTATTTTCCTTTCTTTCGTTTTTTCGTTTTATTCTCATTCTCATCTTCTTCTGTTTCTTTCCTCGTCTTTTTTATTTTTTATTTTCTGTTTTTTTTTTTCAAATCACTTCTGTATGCATGCTAAGCTTAAGGTCATCTTTAGTCAGCATCTTTTTTGATTTATTTGATTCTGTTTGTTTGATTTTGTTAAGTGTGTTCATTTAAGAGTCCTTCGTGTTCTAATATTCTGATTAGGTTAATTAAGTTTTGTTTCGATTTGTTAATTTGGCTTAATTCTAGTTTATCTAGTTTAGTCTCATAGGTCTTTTGTTCAGTCATGTTTTGATGTTGAAATCATGTAACTCTGGACTTGTTTCCTTTTTCTTTCTTTCTTTCTAAACTACTGAAATTGATTCTGTGATTTAGGTCAGTTTGTTGATTGGGCTTTGAGGCCATCTTTGACCCATTTCAAGAAGCCTGTTTATGTCTTGGGTCAGACTTGACCCATATGGTCTGCTGAGGGTAAATAATGGAGGTTTAAAGGGTAGTTTAGGAATTTTGACTGAGGGAATCTTGTTGAAACTGCCTGGGAAGCTTCCAGGAAAGAGAGGGTTGGGTTAGTTCAGTAGTTGGTTTAGAAATTCAGGGTCTAAAATGAACAAGATGAAAATTAAAGAAGGGGTAATTGGCAAATAACATAACCAATTCTGCTGCCCTAGAAGTCCTCTGTAAGAGGCTTATTTTCTTCTCTTTCAAGTCAGAATTCAGAGAGAACAATACTGAAAAATTTCATAAAATGGCTAAGCTTTTATTTAAGACTCTAAATACTGAAATTTGCTTGAATTTGGTTTGGTTTTACTCTTTAATTTCCTTTGGTAGTCAGAATTTCAAAAAGTTCAAACGAGTAGTGCATCTGGGCTTAAGGTTGTTTAATTGGATTGAGAGTTTTGCTGCTGATCTGCTGATTCTACACTGTTTCATTACTGCTGACCTTCTATTTTTTCTTTTGCTTCAATTTCCACTCTCAGGTACACAATCTCAAATTCTGAACATGTAAGAGTGGTTTGTTTGGTTTGAAGAAATGAAGATCCTCATATTTACTTAATGCTTTTTCTTTTAGCTTGTTTAGTTAATTTTTTGTTTTAACATGTTAAGAACTGATGTTATGCCATGGACATTATGATTTGTGCTAAGGGTTGTATTTTGGACTTTTATTTGTTCTTTTGGTTGCAAGTTGTTTTGAATTCATTCTGTCGAATTTTTGAGTGATTGTATTGTCATGCTATGAGCTCAATATGGGATAGGTAGTACTACTTTGGGGTTTTGAGTAAATTGGTGCATCTTAGTGATATTTAATTTCAGATTAATCTCCACAAATGATTTAGTTTGTTTAGAGTTTTTGTTCTTTAAAGATGAATAAACTCAAGAGATATTGGGTCATTGTAATATTTTGATGATTAGAGTATAATAAAGATCACTATGTAGGAAATTATGACAGCAATTTCAGTATTTAGACGAATAGTATTTCAATTTTTACATTTTTGTATCTCAATCTGTTAATGTATTTCCTACTTACGTTGCTAAAGTTGTTCATGTTTAATTGGGTTTGGACCATAGATAGGCTGTTGGGATTTTGATATCCAAGTTTATTTGCTTTATAAGGACTTGATCTTGAGTCCAGACCCTTTGGTGTCCACCCTTTCATCAAATTTGGGTTCACCTTGGGCCCAAACTTGAGGTCACTTGTAAATGAGGAATTGTGTGCCTTATCATGTTTGGTCTTGTTTTCTTCTTGAGCCCAGCTCCTCAGTTAACGATCACTGCTGGCCCAAGCTATCTTCGAGTAATCGAACCTGTCTTATTAATGCAGTCCACTAATTATCAAGTTGGTTTAGACATTTGCTTAAAATAAAAATAGAATCCCCTTAGTCTTTTAATAAATTAATTAGACTACTCTAATTAGATCGAGGTGCGCCATATTAACCCAAACATACAAATTATGGCCCTCAAAACTAAATTTAGAAACCCTTTTAATAGAATAATTCGAGGTGTGCCATGCCGAATAAAATCTCAAAACTCATGGCCCTCATTTGATTAATTTTAACTCTTTAAAAATCGAGGTGTGACATCAATTGAATTTTCTATGGCCCTCGCAAACCTCTTATTAATTTGAACCATCATAGCTTGCTTTAGGCTCGATTTAGATTAGTATTGCGATTATATATATGTTCGCATAATATACTTGCAAATTTAACTCTAAAAAGACTCAAGGGATGCGTTTGCGCAACTTCAACCAAACTTTCTTAATAAATCAACAAAAGCGTTATTAATCGTAGACACGTTCGCGTGACATGATCTTGACACGCCAAAGGAAAAGAGTATACTGTGAAGACCCGAAGGGTCATCATCGTAGTTCTTCCTTGTTCCGCGCTTTCGAGGCCTTGAAAACCTCACTTTTAGTTGCCTCGATTGGCGTGCGTAGTTCGGGCGCGTAGCCAGAAAGTTTTTATGTTAGAATATATGAATTATGTGAAACATTTGATGAATTTTGGTATTAATATGCATAATAATGACATCGGTCAACATTTTGGGTAAACGGACCCGGACCTGTGATGCGACGGTCCCGGAGGGTCCGTAGAAAAATATGGGACTTGGGCATGTGCCCGGAATCAAATTCTGAGGTCCCAAGCCCGAGAAATGAATTTTTTGAAAGAAATTGTTTTTCTGAAATTTGATATGAAAATTTGAAATGAAAAGGAGTTAGAAAATATAGGTATCGGGCTCGTATTTTGGTTCCGACGCCCGGTACAAGTCTTAAATATGTGTTAAGCACTATCTGTAAAGTTTGGCTAAAAACGGACGTCATATGACGTGTTTCCGACTAAAAAATGGAGAATTTGAGTTATGAAAGTTAAAGAAAAGAAAATCATGTGTTTGAGGCTTGATCCTATGTATATGATGTTATTTTGGCGATTTGATCGCACGAGTAAGTCCGTAAGATATTTTTAAGGTTGTGTGCATGTTTGGTTTGGAGCCCCGAGGGCTCTGGTGAGTTTTGAATGGGCCCGGGAGGTCTTGGACTTAAGAAAATGCAGGTTCAGGTGTTGCAGACACCAGCGCGGC